ATGGGATAAGAAATTTAATTTGGTAGCCTCATTTGTGAAGACTTCAGGAGGAAGAGGTGAAAGACATAAAGGCCAGGCAAGCCAGTTACAGAAATTAAGGCTAGATGGGAACAGAGAAATTTAAAGAGAAGGAAATTCTTCAGGTTAATTTAAATTATTTCCTTCAGGTGCTTTTAACATCTATAGTCCATTTAAATTGAAAACTGAAAACGGAAAGACCCAAAGGACATTCTAACAATTCAGAAACATTCCTAGGGAGCAACAATCAACGGTATTTTTATAGTTCAGGTTCCATGTACTTTTCAAAATGAAATTCTAGTTATGCAAGTTCCAGTTGATTTAAACACAATGGCTACATCTAGACTGGCATGATTTTCCGGAAATGCTTTTAACGGAAAAGTTTTCCGTTAAAAGCATTTTCGGAAGAGAGCGTCTAGATTGGCACAGACGCTTTTCCGCAAAAGCATTTTTTGCGGAAAAGCGTCCGTGGGCAATCTAGACACAGTTTTCCGCAAAAAAGGACGCGCTTTTTCACAAAAAAGCCCCGATCGCCATTTTCGCGATTGGGACTTTTTTGCGGAAAACAAATCTCAGCTGTCTACACTGGCCCTTTTGCGCAGAAGTTTTGCGCAAAAGGGACTTTTGCCCGAACGGGAGCAGCATAGTATTTCCGCAAAAAGCACTGATTTCTTACAGTAGAAAGTCAGTGCTTTTGCAGAAATTAAAGCAGCCAGTATAGACAGCTGGCAAGTTTTTCCGGAAAAGCGGCTGATTTTCCAGAAAAACTGGCCAGTCTAGACACAGCCAATCAGGATGAAATTTAAAGACATTTTAAAGTGTAATGAGCAACAAGCCCAGTCTCAATAGACTCCCCCACTCCCATACTCTGCCACAAAGGATATTGTTTCAAATGTTCTGAGACAAGCAGCCATACATGTTGCACCTTGATAATGTTATAAGTATGAGCATCCACATGCATATTACAAAATGGAAGCCATACAAAGCTTTCAGAGCTATAGCTGTAGGCAGATAGCATGTTAATAGATTTGTAATTATAATACATAAAAATATGAAAAAGGAAACGAAAATACATTCCCTGGCAGGCAAGTTGGAAGTAAAGAGTGATAATCTTGTAATGGGATTTTTCTGACGCAAATAAGACACTGTAGAATTAATCTTTGAGGAAGCAGAGGGGGAAAATGTCACACTTAAAAGCATATTTCATAAGGAAAATGTCAACCAAATTGCTCTGACTTTGCTGGTCATTCACTTAAAAGCAACAGCAGCATATTTAGGAGTAAGGCACCTGTGGATAGGACCAGTCACTGTAGAAACTTCGAACAATAGAATTATAGGTAATGGGTGAGGTTTTGACAAGAAATTAAGGGATTTGTGCATAGCTTCCTTAGGCTCCTTTGAAAATCACAGAGAATATCTAATGTCCCAATTCTTCATACACACATGCTTATTGTTACACATGCAAATTAGTCACACTGAGCTTAATGTGTTTTCATGCCTGTGGTTTTAGATTATTAAAACTGAAAGACATTAGAAAGAAAACCTATATTTTTTTTTCTTTGTGCATAGGACACCATTGTCTGCATTGTCATTTTCACTGTTTCCATTCCCCAGTAAGCATGTCAGTCAGTTTTTCCTTTGCTAGAGACTCAAGGGGTCAGGAAACAACATCATGATTCCAAAAATGGGAGAAGAGAGGGACAAAGTAAATGGTTGGCAAAGACAGAGAACAGAGGAAGTTGTGAGAGAAAAAGTGAAGCAAAGATATCTGTTTGGGAACATTCTGCAGGGCTTTATGTGGATTATGTAGGTGAAGCAGACAAAGAACTTTAATAGGATGCTGTAAAAAGAACAGATTTCAAAAGATGTAACTAGTAGTGTTATGTCTAACAGAGTAGAAATAGAAATCCAGACAGGAGATGATTACATTAAGACTAGCATGACTCAAGCAATGCGTTCACACAAGTATTCATGCATGCTGAATTAACATGCAATTAATTTATTTTAATTTAATACACACCAGCAAGTGAATTATTCCATACGTATTAACTAGCAAGTCAGTATGCTTTACGAACTGTGTGTACTCAGGTCATTTTAATCCATTGGCACAAACTAAAATTAATGTGTAATAAGCCTCTGCTGCAGAGAAGCTCTTAAATATGTAGATCACCTCAGTCCCAATAAATCTACTCTAATAACTGCATGTTAATAAAGTGCATGGCTGCTTATTTCGGGATGTTCTGAAATAAGCAGCCAAGCACTGTGAAAATATGGTGTGTTTGATCCCAGGCAGAACCCAGGGAGAAGCTATGAAAGTTGTGTATGAGAGGACAACAGCATGCTAAATGAAAAATGCACTGAAAACCACGGACCTGGAAGATAAAATACACTACACTTCTGGCAAGTTATTTCCAGAGTCAATGGACAGATAGTTTCGTCGTGGGGAGATTTCTGTGACTCTTCAGTGTTCAAGTTTCCACAGGAACCAGTACAGAATCTTGGTATTTTATCTGAGTTTTTAAAGCCCTTTATTAATCATAAGGAGCCATTTATGAGGCACAGTTCCATTTCCTTTCAGGAAGTGAATTTGATTTTCACCGCCTGAGGTTTGGTCCCTGTAGCGGGGTCTATTTGAAAACCATGGGAAGGTGGGCAGGCGAAGCCCGCCCACATTCTAAAAGTCCCTCCCCAGCCTTACAGAAGGGACAACTGGACCCATGTCCAACGATTACAGGGGAAAACTGATGACGAAAGGATCAAGGGGTGCGGGTCACAGGTTCAAACTAAGGGAACCAAATGGGGACATCGAGCAGAGAACCCCGGACAGCGCCCACTGCTCCTCAAAGCTATCGAGGGAGCCAGTGGACGCCGCCCAGAGGAACTCTGCCAGGATACATGACACAAGGGAGGAACGGAAATAGGCCCCACAGTCGCAGAGAACCCCCACGTCTAATATCTTACTCCTGGTATTATATATAGCGGCTTTTGCTAGGGCCAGGAGGAGGTTGACGAGGAGGTCTCGCAACTTTGTGGGGCCACGGATAGGGTGTGCATAAATGAAAAGGTGAGGGGAAAAGTGCAGCCAGAACCTCAGTAAGAGGTTCTGTAGCGGCTTTTGCTAGGGCCAGGAGGAGGTTGACGAGGAGGTCTCGCAACTTTGTGGGGCCACGGATAGGGTGTGCATAAATGAAAAGGTGAGGGGAAAAGTGCAGCCAGAACCTCAATAAGAGGTGCTGGAGGAGCCAGAATAGGGGCTGGAAACTGGCGCA